AAATATGGGAGCAACTTTTTACAGGTTTTTAATTTAACGTACACACATAAATTTTTTAGTATACACTTTTCATTGCATAACTTTTAGGCGTCATTATTTGGCAAAGTTTGAAACTGATGGCGAAAGAATAACGACATTCCTCGAGCATATAAGGGAAGTTTACCCTGGATATCAAGATGGTGTATTAAGGACGGGTCTTTTCTTAAAGGTAATAGATCCAATAACGGAAAATTCAAGCCATACCATCAAAAAGAGAAAAGTCGAAGAAGAAATGGATATTATAAGCCAATGAGATTTTATTTGTTTTTTATTTTAGCCAAATTGTAGTTAGCCAATTTTTATGTATTAAGTATATATGTAATTATACAATGTTTACAAAGAATTTATGCGATTATTTACAGATTATTTGATAAGACACAAACTCATGTATATATTGTATTAGCTTAGTATTATTTTCAATAGAAATATTGATTGCAATTCCAAATGAAAATAATAAACAAATTGTGGCCTTTCGAACTCAGAACTGATAAAGATTATTACTTGCAATTATCTTTTTTATATTTACGTTGTGTGGTCAGAAAGAAATTTAGAAAACGTTTTAAAAGAAAAGGCAATAAATACGAGGGCATGATGACTCTTATTATTACAAGATTTCCTGAAGATAAATAGTTTGCAATGTTTAAAAGTTGGAACTTGTTTCAAATATGAGCTTTGTATGGTCCAGGGAGTTTTGATAATTACTTTAAATACCGTTTTTTGTATTGTTAGATATTTATTCAAAGTGTAAAGATATTCAGCCTTATCCTGAGTTTCGCCCGAAAACAAATTCACCCGAATTTTCATCCGCCCCTAGTAAATACACGGATAAAAAATGAAAACAACCGGTTCGGAAAAAATGAAACTCATAAGGCTAATTTAAGGGGTTAGAATCATAAGGGTATAAGTGACATTTTTTGAAAATATAAGTTATACCCATATCTGTATAGTTAAATATAGTATTTATTTGGTGACAAAGAGTAAACATTCTTTGAATTAGTTAATTAACCTGCATTCATTTAGGCAAGAATCATTTCAAATGAATTTTCCCAGAATTTACAATAAGTAATTAACTTTAACTTTAATTATCTTAAAACAATGTCAGACCATCTTAGATCCTTTTGATTCTAACCCCTTAAATTGTGATAAACTATCGGGTCTTTTAATTTTTAAAGGTGGTTAATGGTTAAGATATCTTTTAACGACGGAACTATTTTTCTGAGTCCTCCAATCACTATCAACTTTAAAATACCCAAGGCGAATTTATACAAGGTGGTGTTACTGGCGAATTTAGATTTTCGCCGCAGTACTTCCTAATGTCAAAATGATGTGTTTGTTGTAATATGAATTCGCCTTGTTTACTACAAACACATCATGCCTTAAGGAGCAAATACACCACACAATTGGTTTGTCGTTTTTCTCAGTTTTTTTTTGTTTGAGTTATGACACCATTGAAGTAAATGAGCGATATGTACATCATTTCCACGACAGTCGGGTATATAGGGCTTTCGCATGAGACGTTTTTTCAGGTAACTTTTACGTTCAACTCATGCAGGGTTGCTCGAAAAAAATTGAATGGCTAAAAATATCAAAATATAAAAAAATATAAAAATATTCGCCATATAAAGGCGTTTGCATTGTTCAACTTTGCATTCTACTTTGGGTTGAACGGCCTTCCAACTAATCGCTTTCAAAAAAGTTGGTCGCCAGCGAACATTTAGCCATTCGACTTTTTTTGTGCAACTCTGCGCGAGTTGAACGCAAAATCGCCTCGTGCGAACACCTTTATACGTAACAATGGTGGTATATATATATATATATATATATATATATATATATTATGATAAATATATCTTCATTGTCTTGACAGCATGTCCAATGTAAACGCGCTGTAACTTAAATTTCCTAAAATAGCCTGGCGCGAACAGTGTTGCCGTGCCATCTCAAGAAAATGTATCACCGACCAAGACATTTTTAGAGTGTATGGCCCGTAGTCATAGTCAAATTAAAGTCGACTTTAAAGTTAGTTGCAGCTTTTTTGACAGATATCCCATTGAAAATTATGTCAAAAAGCTGCAACTAACTTCAAAGTCGACTTTATTTTGACTATGACTACGGGCCTATATATATAAAGTCTTTCCAGTAAAATTCGTACAACTTTCCTTAAATAAATCACATTTAGTTTTTTAATCATTGTATTTTAAACTACATTGAGATCTTTTTTCTTTTTAAATTTATAAATCAAAATGTGGATATGACAGCGATCACTACGGAAGGAGCGTATATTTACTCTATGTATATATTAAGATCTAGCGATTATACCTCCTTTGGTGCTCACAGTTTGATGCTAAAGATGTTTCAAAATGTAGACGTCTACATTTTCAGACATAATTTGGAACGAACTGTGAACACCCCAACTGTGTTGTTTTATTTATACCACCGTGTATGCGGTACGTAAGATGTCTGAATTCGCGCTGAATGGCTGAATATATGAACAAGTTTTATTTGTGACTCTGTGTGACTGTGTGTGTACGTATGTCTGTCAATTTTATTTTATTTGTGACTTACCAAAATATTTTATAAAAAGTTGTGATTCAAAGATATATATTTTTTTACCAAAACATCCTATTTATATATAGAAAAGCAAAGGTGTAGGCGTTCAAATTTGCTAAATTGAACAAAGA